ACACACACACACACACACACACACACACACACACACACACACACACAAACACACACTTACTTATTTCTTTTTGTATTTTACCCAATAATCTTGTTTTATATTACCTAAAACCTTACTCCTTTTTAGTATTTCCAATGCCCAACTATTATTTCTGTAATTTTTACTCAAATAACTCAACTATTGCGGCCGATTTTGAGTTTGGATAATCAGAGTTCAACAATCAATTTGTACAACTATTACTTAATGAGGTTTATGTGCAATTTTAGTGGTACCTTGTCCTTTCATCTCTGTTCAAATCTTTTTTGAGAATAAATTATTAAACCCGGATTCATTCCCTAGTTCGCCACTATACGGGACTTGACACGGGAGACAATAAAAATCGGTTCTCACTACTCAAAGTATATTGAGAGAAAAACGCCTTGAATTGGAGAATAGCAAATCAACCATTAAAATAATTGCTCCTTATGATGCAATTTAGGCGCTATTTATAGAAATGAATCTTCATGCGTGAATAGCCACCATTAGAGGTGGATGATTTTCTTCAAAACTAAATGGGACCGCTATGAAGGTACCTCTTTCCAACAAAAAAGTGTTTTTTTAGTACTGTGTACTGTAGACTAGGCTGTACTCTTTGAGTAAGATTGCTGGCTGAACATAGGTAGTGTTTATAGTTTGTATTTGGAACGCTAAGAAAATAGGAATAGAAGATCTTGACAGACAGACATGATTATTAATAATTAAGATGGTTGTTTCGTAACCCTAGACATGAAAATGGTAAAATAAACCAAAGTTTAAGTTAATCCCGGTTTTTATATTATTAAAAGTACCTCTCGCAATGCATCTGAGCTACAGCCCTCGATTATAAATGGTGGAGGCGCGGACTCTATTATAATTGGTGGAATTCGCCGGTTTACAATAATGGAAGTACGAGTCACGATGTGAAAATTTTTTATATTTTTATTTTGAAAAACCTGGCAATGGAAGAAGAAATATAATGTAATTCAAGCCTGCAAATGTTAGACGCAAGCTTACGATTGATGAAAGGATCCGATGAAGAAAAGTCCATAGTGAAATATTTTTATATGTTGTTACGACACAACCACAAGGAAAGCGCAACAAAAGGTCGTAATATATATTTTTATATTTAATATTGATTTATAATTGGTGCCAGTAAAAAGTGCGAGGAGGAAATATGTATGGTGTACCGGCACAAAGATTTAATGGGTTCAACGACGTAGATGAGTTTTTGAACCAATTTGAGACCATTAGTATATTAAATAATTGGTCTGATGTGCAGAAGAAATACGTGTTTGCATTGTATTTGGAGGGGCCAGCTCTGCAATGGTACAAAACGTATTCTTCTTCATACGTGTCGTATGATGTGATTGCACAGAGGTTGAGAGAGGAATTTCCCTCACAAATTGATTACGCCCGAGAATTTTATTATAGGCGACAGGGGCATAGTGAATCGCTTATAAGTTATTTTTATAGTTTAAATGAGTTAGCGATGAAAGCGAACATTCAAGATGTTCAGTTTATTAAGCATTTTTTGAAGTCTTTGATACCCAATTTTAAATGGATGCTGGCAAGTAATTTGTATCTATCTAAAGAGGAGTTGAGAAAGACAATTATCCAAGTAGATGATGTATTTAATCACAGCTATAATGTGAGACAAGATATTGAATTGCCAGTGAATTGTAATATGGAGCATTCTTGCTGTTGGCAAACACAGGATGTCTCTGCACCGATAATTAGACCCGAGTCTAAACAGTCGGAGTATTTAGTGCCGCGAGCACCAATTGTGCATCAGGATACGCCAAGTCAAGGGTATTCACGAGCACATAGTAGTGGATCTTCGCCGGGATCTCCTCAACGTGATTGTCAGAAAAGCGCAACTGAACATGTAGAAAATTTGTCTACATTTGATAGGTCTAGTGTAGATAGGGCACCTTTTATATCTGTATTTATTAATGATGTATGTTGCGAGGCGTTGGTGGATACTAATGCTTCAAATTCAGTTATTTCTCGTTATTTTGCGGAAAGGTTGCAGTTGCGTATCGATGATAGTCCAAGTTTTCCATTACGTATAGTGGGTGCAACGCCAATAAATGTGCGGTCGTCCACCAAGGTGTCGTTGATGATTAATGGGAAGGATTATCCTTCGAAGTTGCTGGTTGTAGACGATTTTAAAGAATATTTGGTTCTGGGCCGAGATGTTTTGGAAAAGTGTAATTTCGAGTTGTCAAAAGTGGAAATTGACAATAAAATTTCGTCTAAGTCCGTGACAGATATTGGACCAAAGAAAGAAAAGTCTCCTTTGAAAACCATATCAAAAAGTTTAGATAGCTTCTCGGTTTTGCCAGAGATGATAAGTAATGTTGACGTGAGTGATAAGACGTGTCAATTGCGTCAAAAACGGGATTTAGATATAAATAATTATAATTATGATTTGCCGAAAATATATATAAAATACAATTCGAAAAGCGACATTTCTAATCGTGTTCGCGTAAGTAATGTGGCGAATCTGCGAAGTGACTACGTAAAACGAGCAGCTTCGATGAGTTCTCGTAAGGAATGTATAGATAGTTTACAATCGCATCGGAAGCGAATGTTTGACAAGAAAGACAGGATTGCTTTATCTAAGAGATATGATACGCGAAGGTTAGGGTAATGAATTGGTTGAGTAGGATTAATTGTATTATGTGCAGATTAGGTATGAATAGGAAAAGGTTGTGTAGGCAGAATCTACTCCATGTGAATAGGATGAAAAAGTTCTATATGAGGGAATTTAATGTGTTTGTTTCTACTAGGTTAATTAATTTTTTATATTTATTTTTCATGTGGAACACTGACGAACATTGACGTTATGAGAAATATTTGGAGAAAAATTGATATTTTCCTGTACATGCAGACTTGGAAGGAAGGGAGGAGAGGATACACCATCAAATAGATAACATTTACTTTTGTTTTTCTTATATATATTTTTTTAATTTGGTAGATATATTATCCTGTATGTGCGAATAGTTCCTGCTCATCCCTCCAGTTGATCAAGGACTGTCTGCATTCTGGGAAAATATATTTATTTAATTATTAGAAATTCTTCATGTGGTATACCCTCATACCATATGTATGTCTGAGGACATGTAGTTAGAATATGTTGTTGACGTTATACGTGGGTTGGTTCTTGTTGTTTAAGGATGATAAGTGAAGCTGATGGAACGTGATAGCTGCAAAATGAGGACTAAGGCAGCTGGGAGATCAATAGTGATGTAACCCAGTGATCGTCCGATGGGTGTTCAAGCCTGTGTCGTCGTTGTGGCAGCATCCACGTTGGAGATAGCTTAGGCTGAGATAGTTAGGAACTTGTAGTGATGTTTAGAATTTTTATTAGGATCGTTCAGCCAGTTTAGGGTCGCTAAAATAAAGTGTTAGGGTTTAGTCAGGTTCCCTAATTAGATAGGATAGCTAACTAGTGAAAATATTTTGATTTGTTTGTTTAGGATGTGATCATGGTCTGTCCTTTTAGATAGGTTTTTGGCAGACCAAAGCCATAGCCTCCTCGGTGGTTACCTGTTGGTAAGTTGATAGCTTCCGAGCAGTGTGTGGCTAGCCTGTAGTAAAGGCTGATCGCAGATGTAAGTTGCCTATCATAGGTAGATCATCAGCTAGGGATATTCGCCCCTTCAGCTGTGAGGAAGAGGGATGTAGACTAGGCTGTACTCTTTGAGTAAGATTGCTGGCTGAACATAGGTAGTGTTTATAGTTTGTATTTGGAACGCTAAGAAAATAAGAATAGAAGATCTTGACAGACAGACATGATTATTAATAATTAAGATGGTTGTTTCGTAACCCTAGACATGAAAATGGTAAAATAAACCAAAGTTTAAGTTAATCCCGGTTTTTATATTATTAAAAGTACCTCTCGCAATGCATCTGAGCTACAGCCCTCGATTATAGTACTAAGATTATTATGACTTTCATGTGATAAAACCACTTTTGATGGTCACGTGGTATTATTATTCTGAGGTTATACAAAAGAGTGTTTTTTTTAAATGGGACATTATGTTGAAACCCGAAATCATAGAAGATACAAGGAAACTATCTCACGAACCGTTTAGTTTTTTTTTTTGTGAAAGAAATTTTGGTCTAGTATATTTTTTGGTCAAGCGTGACTTGTCGTCACAGTTTCATGAAGGGATCGTTTCCTTGTAAGGGGTCTTTTTTGTATGTTCCGCGATAAATTTGTAAACCGATTTCGATAATACTTTTTTTTTGTTGGAAAGAGGGTACCTCAATTTATCCCTTAGTTATAGATAAATGACTTTTGTGGTCGGTTTTTTGGTACTCTGTACTGAGATTATGTATGAAAAAAAAGCTTTTAAAATCTATGCTTTTCAAATACTTAACATTTCAACCATGTACTGAACAACTCCTGTACCACCCTTTTTTCAGTTATGCAAATTGCCAGGACAGGTCTTCGCTGAATATGTTAATCTGACATGAATTAAAAATACCTTTTCGTGGTTAGTCAAAGTCAAAGATTATTTATTCCATAGGTAAAATTACTTTACACTTGAAAACGTCACATTTGCTCGTTCACTACGCTGACCTCTCTGAGAAGAACGAGCAAGAAACTTTAGGGATTACTCTTTTCAAATAAACTTAAATGCTATGGAATAAACTTTGAATAAAATTTGTGTGGATTCTAGAGTCATGTCGTCTTTCCATACATCTTTACCTAACACGTAGTCTTCAATTTTGTTATATGATTTTTCGATCAAAATATTTTTATGTACTTTTAAACTTAGGAAATGATTAACTTAATATACGCTCCGGAATCTTATTGTAAAAACGTATACAGTTCCCCATAAAAGAGTTGTTTATTTTGGTTAAACGAAATCGTGGTACCATGAGTTTGGACTTAGCTCTAAAGTTAATATTATAGATATCTTCTTTCTTATTGAAATTATGTATATTTTTACGGGCATATAAAATATTTGAGTAAATGTACTGTGATGCCACAGTCATGATACCAGTCTCCTTAAACTTTTCTTTGAGAGAAACCCGAGAGCCTAGACAGTACACAGAACGAATCGCTCGTTTTTGCAATACAAATATGGTTTGAATATCTGGCGCTTTACCCCACATGATAATCCCGTAGGACATTATACTATGGAAGTAACTAAAGTAAACTAGTCTAGCACTACTAACATCGGTAAGATCACGTATTCTGCGGACTGCGTATGCAGCGGAGCTTAATCTGCTTAATCTGCTGGCCAGGGAAGATGAGTTCTTTGACTTTGACTTCTACATTATACTTAAAGTTCAGGTTATTTACTAGGCCTATGATTACGGCTAACAAAGTATTAGTCTCCAAACGTCTAATGTCTAATATTACTGCAAACCACCGACCCTATTCTGAGCCTCTACTATGAGAAAAGATTTCAGTAGCAGTAGAGCTTCTTATGAAAGAGTACATCCAGGGAAGTACTGCTACCTTGCTTATTTCTGCTGCCAAGCAGTAATGTGAGCATTAGTTCACATTACTTCTCGACCCTAACCCTTCCGGTTTGGAAGGGTTAGGGTCGAAACACAAAACTGCATTGCGAGTCGATCGACGAAGCCGCATTTTTTTGTTTTTTTTCCTATTCTTTCTTATCAGTAACACTAGTGCTACACTCTTTTTATGATCCATGTCGCTTAGCCTAGGGACGTAGCTTAGGTTGCGTAGCGAGAGGTACTTTATAAATATAAACTGGGATTGACTTAAAAACTAGATATTTATTGTACTTTTTTTACATGTTCACTTACGGAGGCTACTTCTAGATCTGCCAAGATGTTCTTTTCTCTGTCCTATTTTTTTTAAACACATTCTAAATACAAAACTATATTTACTCAGCCAGTAGTTCTACTCATAGAGTGAAGCCTAGACTACATCCCTCTTCCTCACAACTGAAGGAGTGAACATCCCTAGCTGGTGCCCTACCTATGATAGGCAACTTACATAAGTGATCAGCCTTTACTATAGGCTAGCCACACACTGCTCGGAAGCTACTACCTTACCAACAAGTAAACCACCGAGGAGGCTACGGCTTTAGTCTACCAAAAACCTATCTAAAAGGACAGGCCATGATCACATCCTAATCAAACAATTCAAAATATAATTATTCGTTAGCTATGCTAGCTATTTAGGTAACCTATCTAAATCCTAACTCTTTATTTCACCTACCCTAGCTAGGCTGAATGTTTAAAAAATACGTTTAGTACGGTTGGCGATGGTCGAAGGAATGGTTAGGGCAGTGAAGTGCCTTGCGTGTAATGGACAGCGTGTCGTTTATCACCAGGAGCACTACTTGTTCATCCTGCCGCTTGGTATTATTGTTATGAACGTCTCTGCAAGAGCTGCCAACCGACAGTCATACCTGCCAACTGTCAGCGACGAATACTATATAAGGCGTTGCAAACCAAACTAACGGCTTTTTTGCTTTTTGCTAATGTGCTCTCGACGCGTTTATTTGTATAACATGCCGTGCTTTTCAAATTTGAACATTAGATATGTAACCGATTTTTATTTCATTAAAATTATTCTTAATATTTAGTCGTTTTTATGATTTCTGGTATAGATTTCTAACATTATAATATAAAAAATGCAGTCTTAGCATTCCAAACTAAAGAGTTTGCGCGTCGATTCCTGGGGGTCTACTCTCGAGATCTGTCCGACATACGTCCGAAACAATTACTGCCAAATAAGCAATACTTGACCAAATGAAAGACGCGTGATGCGAATGAAGCTTCATACTTGATACTTGTCTTTTAATTTTGTCGAATATTACTTATTTGATAGTAATTGTTTCGGAAGGAGATCGAGAGTAGACCCCCTGTTTCGAATCCGAGAAGCGACGGTCCGAAATGTCACTTGAATCATTTATCTCTAGGTGTACAAGCGATATTCGTATTTTCGTGGATTCGAATCGGTTTTAGTGCACAAGCGACATCCGAAGTGGGAACGAGTTTTCTAGACGAGTATAGTCTCGGAAATACGAATCGGGTGCAGTGCGTAAATACGCTTATAAACAGTTAATTCTCGTATGGTGTACTTTTTGTAAATATATTGTAATTTACCGACTTTCTCTCGTAAGTTTGGGTATAATTTGTGGTTGTCTATGTGTGTCCATGGAACCCGCGGCACAGAGTTTCCCTAGTGCGGGGCTATGTTGAGTGTGTGCGTTATTATACCATATTATTAAAAAAATAAATGTCAAACTGTTAACGTCGTAACGGTTCAGAGAACATCACCAAACCTCGCAGCGGGCCTGTCTCTCTGCCATGAATTTACAGCGAAAGTTGTCACTAGAGAGCGCGTAAAGTATTTGACAACTTTCTGTGGCAAATTGTACAGCGCCCTTAGCAGTCATAAAAAATAACGTTTCGTGTTTAAATATACAAAATCCTATATTGCCCTTCTTTTTTTTATAATATCAAGTGACAGGATGAACAAGTCGGGAACTTGGTGGTAAGCGATACGCTTGTCCATAACAGTTGCAGTGCCACTCAGAGCTTTAAACTGTGGGACACTAACACTACACTCGTCACCCTGAGATATAACTTGGCAAATCTCATGTGCTTGTAATCTCACCAGCACCCTTACCCTTCGAAACCGGAGCGCAGTGATACTCACATACTGCTTCGCGGGAGTAATAAAAAAGGCGCCGGTACTTCCCTGGACGAACTCATTCACAAGGAGCTCTAATTGTTACTAAAAGAGCTCTACTGTTTGCCGAGCCGTGGTCTCCATGGCAGTATAGATTATAATTACAAAACATCATTGAGTTTCATTAGTTAATACTCCAAATAGGGTCAAACTTCGTTTGTACGGTTTGCGTGGGCGTTCCTCTGGACCATAAATCAGTTTTACCAACAACAAACCACAAACTAAAAGCGTCAATCAAAATTTATTACACATTACACCAAGTAAGACTACATAACGGTACCACAGGAGCACATATAGGTAATATGTAATATTCCCTATTTTCCTACCACAAAACCGACACAAACACAGCTTAAACTGCATTTACAAATCCGTTCACAACCGCATTTTGCATTGCTGCGCATTCTATTATACTAATACAATAAACAACCGCTAGAGTGGTAGTGATGGGATTATACGCAATTGTTTCTCTTCAATATTTCCTTAAACTGCGATTACAGCCTTTACAAACCTTTTACTGCTCCGCCCTGGACAAAATTAGTTTTTTTTATATAATGGCCTGGTGGTAAGTGACACGTTTGTCCAAGGCAATTGCAGAGCCTTAAATTGCAAACATCAGAGGGGCACTATCGCCCGTCACCCTGAAACATAAGTTAACAAGTCACATGTGCCTGTAATTTCACCAGCACCCTCATCCTTCCTAACTGGAACGCAATAATAATCACATTCTTACTTGATGGCTGAAATGGGTAAGGTGGCAGTGCTTCCCTGGACGAACTCTTTACA